CCCCCCCCCCCCCCCCCCCCCCCCCCCGCCCACCTCTCCAGAGCTTGTGGTTTACCTCCGCCACGAGCAGATGAGCAGCAGCAAAGCTTTCCACGTTTTGAACAGAATCTTTTCGCGGTCCTCTTCTTTCCCATATTGGAACAATAGAATTGTGACTGTGGCCAGCTGAAGTGGGAAAGAAGCACGGGAAACTCCTGCTCAACACGCCCTCTTCTGCATCATTAGTAAATAACTTCCGTAGTGTTAGCAGGTTTCCGCCCATAAGCGAATGACGGTGTGTTGCTCGTAATAAACCCTTTGACTGCCTGTAATCACATGACTAAGCATGGCAATCAGAAGTGGTTAAAAAGCTGATAATTCGCAACATATATGCCAAATTATTGGTATCATGGGGAAAGGATGGTGAGACAGTGCCGGTAATTCTAGTGAACCTTGGTTCTCGGTGGAATTATCTCTTTTCACGCGAACAGGGGAAGGGGGTCGAAGGCGGAACAGTAGCATGTGACTTCATTTATTTGTTCACGATTCAAAGGTCGAGTCAAGGATTTATATCCGCCAGAGCCAATCAAGTCTTCATCCATCTGGGACCGCTTGATTGGTACCAGGATATAAGCAGCGACTTGCAAATTAGTGAGTGCCTTCGAAACATAAGAGTCATAGAGCTAACACAAGCTGGAGGCTTGTGTTAGCTCTATGACCCTTATGTCTCGAAACCACTCGTTGTGCTATATGCGCGCAGCCACGCTATACGCCACACGGCCTAGTATACGCGCATTCCCAAAATTTTGCCTTCATTGGAGAGTAAAATAAAGAATCAAGAATCTCAACAATCCCAACCTTTGGAGACCAAATATGCCCCCTCTCCCTCAAGCCAAGTACTACCCCCTCTCCCCCTCATTGTGATGTCCACAATGGATTATGAACCCTGATGGGGAGGCTGTGGCATGCTTGATGAGTGATGCAATTAGCTATCACAACCACGGCACGTCTAACGTTGGGATCCCCAGCAAGAGAGGGTCTTATTGGGTCGCTGAAGTGGGGGGGGGATCGTACTCACCTCTGAGGAAATGTTTGTGTGTGATGACTTCTTTTCCCGTTTCACGCGCGCTATGTACCCTCGAGCGGCGTCAGGCTTTCTTTTCAAGGAAATACTGGAGAATTTTCGCTGGAAAGTGGTAGGGAGATTGAAGACTGAGAAGGGGAGGGGGTCGTCTTTTGCAGAATTTTTCTGCAACGCCAGGATATGCTCTGGTGACAACCCATCCATTTCCACTGCCTTTTAGTTTCGAATGGCTGGAGAGTAACTTCGACCACCAAGGACGCGCCCGTTTTGAACATGGAATGGGTCCGCCCGGCAGGTCGTAGAGCGGGTCTTTGACGCGCCAAGCCATGTATCTAAAATGAGAGACGATTTATTGGTTGGTCTGGCTAACGTCTGGTGTCGTGACGCTTTTTACCTCTTTATCCATGGTTACCTGTTTCCTCTATCCAATGGTTTCTTTCATCATGTGATGTGTCTAATCACATGTCTGAGGATCACAGATGGTTTAATCGACCATCAATCCACTCCCATGTGATCGAGGTATCTTAAAAGCCCAAGTGAATCAGTTTAGAGGCACATTAAGGATGCCTGCAGTTGCTCCCTGCTCCTCGTTGCTCGTTCTCAGAGTAGTCGTTATCTCTCGCGTTGTGTTGAGTGTCACTCGCGCGATTTGTTTACTCCGTGCCTTTACCTCGCCGTCTTCTGCTCTTGCGCTGCGAGATTGCTTTTCCTATGAAGACGTTTCCTGGATTATCTGACCAGCCGTCAGTTCATGACGCGGGCAGCTGGTTAAGTTCTCACCAATCGCTACTCGTATCTCTCTCTGTAGTCATGGTGTCTTTCAGTTGTCTTCATTTCAGTAGTTAACTATCACCATGCGGAGCGAAATGGGAAGTGAAGTACCGGAGGACTTGGAAGAAGGTCTATCGGTGGAGAAACAGCAAGAGCAACAATTGATGAATAAGCTCGCTTCTCAAGGTCGACTACCAGCTCGACCCGCTTCCTCGTTTCTGCAGAAGAAACTACAACAAAGGGTTTGTCATTTCAGAATTTTTGACGATTTTGGAAATGTTCTCTGAAACGGGATGCTCTCGAAGAAAAATGTTCTCACCTCACAATAAATGGGATGGCTTTGATGCCTTTGGAGGGGTTTTTCTGCGTAAAGGACTGCTTCTTGGGAACACCTCAGTTGGTATCTTCAGAGGATTCTAAGAAAAGGTCTGGGCCCGTCGTACGTAGGGGGTCGTATTTGATGGCTGGAGGAAAGGATGGATCGTATTACCTTTTCTTATGTTGACTTTCGTGGGATTTTCCCCGCTCCATTTACCCTTATATCCCACCGCACCCCGCCATGGTTTGACAGCAATTTTGCGGAAAAATAGGTTTCAGTATTGCGAGTGGGGTATAAACGGGTTTGGCTCTGCTGCTGTGCAGCGATAGTGAACAGATTTCTGATCGTGGTAGGCCGATTTCCAGTGCTGCGAGTTCCCTCAGCAGGTTCCGAAGGCTCCTTTTGGCATTAACTAATAGTAAGAGGTGAAATTCTTTCCGCGCTGGGATGCGCAGGTCTGCAGCCGCCAAAGGTTCGTAATCTCTGCCGCTCAAAATTGTGCGGCAAGAATGTCGGGAGTTTACGACGTGCCTAAGGTTGCCTCACTCAGTGCCTGAGGCTCTCCACGAGACTGAATAACGAGCGAACGTAATTACTGGAAAACACTTCAAGAAATAATCGGGGATGCACCGACGTGGCCTCATTGATTTGCTGGCGCGAAGCCAAGAATTCTGAATATCTGACCGAGCGCTAGAAAACTCTACATATTCGAAAAGGATCATTTAGTGCCTGCCTAACAGGTTCTTTTGCTTTTCCCCTCTGTTCAAGTCATTTAACACCTGTAAGTTTATATTTTGATACCACTGCCTAAGTAATGTGCTTAGAAAGCGTAGTGGCCCTAAAATGCAGCCCCATAATGAACGCGAAAGGGGTAGGAGGTGTGAATCTCGATAGTTGCTGCCCCATAATGTACGCGAAAGGGGTAGGAGGTGTGAATCTCGATAGTTCTGGAAGGCAATAATAAAACACTGAAATGGAAACGATCGTAGCCGGAAGTTCACATTTCAAGAAGTTCTTCGATTCTGGTGATTACGCCATGGACAAAGATCGCTGCAAACAAGCTGCACCCGGTTTGGGCGGCCGTCTTCCTCATCCAATGGCTACTCCAGTGGTGATGACTGCAGCTTCTCCAAACCCGAGATCGGTTGCTGCTGCTGAACCAACTTCTCCCGATGGTGAAACGAATCTTCAAGTGCGTTTTCACTATTTATCATTTCTTGTTTCGATACATGCTCAGAAATGCTTGGTGTTTCAGATCCCCCGTCCAGATACTGTGCCTCAGAGAAAGGCATCTATCATTAATCCATCGGTGCACTGCAAACTTAGCCCCATGCCACATGTTCAGGTTTGTTACGAACGTGCTCCTTTCTTGGCAGTTCATCGGTTAAAAATGTAGAGCTTGATTTATTGAGGGGTTGAACCTTAGTTAAGAATGACATCCTAAAAACGCATCCTATTGTTGATTTTGGCCTACCTGTCACATGAGCAGGGGAATAAGGTGGAGACATGGTGGAAGACGCACCCGGAAACTGCCTACGGGAAGCAGTTTGTAACGTGAAGAATCCTGCTTCATCGCCCTCGGAGAGTTTTCTTGTTCCCACTCCGTCGGCAACTTTATCTCGGGAACTTGGTGGCAGGGAGCTCATCAGTTCAAATGGTTCAGTGAAAAAATAGTAAGCTAGCCTCCCTTCATTGACGACAACCTGGACACCACTTTCCTTCGTGAATCGTGTCCCTTGCTGTTGGAAGCGAGGGGGACGTAAGTTGTAGTCGCTGTACTTCTACCTACTCCGTGCAACAAGTGCTGGAAACGGTAGTGTAGCCGCCGTTGTTCCGTGTGTCTTCCTGCTTTGCCTGCGCTGCGCCAAGCCCCATAACCCAATCCGACAGTCAAACGCTGCATTGTTTTCAGCATTTCTGGTTGTTCTCTACACTTTGAATAGCGTGTTTCGCCTGCGAATGTGAATTGGCATCGATGCAACTGCTGCACCTTGAGAATAGCGGGACGGAGTATGGAGCCAACATTCGGGTACCACTACACTGCAGAGCCGTTCCGTCTTTTTCGGTCGGGAGTGGCACGCTGTGCAACTGCAGACCCCTCGCACATGCCAAGGACCATCTTCAAGGGTGAATATGTAGTTTGCCTTTTCTGTGATAGACCAACATGCAGAAGTCCATTCACAGACCTGGTGGCGCGGCCCACAAACGTAGAAGGTATCCCGCTTTTGTAACACGAATTCGCTTATGGCTTAGGCTTTGTAGTAACGGTATCTCCATCATTTAGAACTCTTAGGGTATGGCTTCACCGCGCTTCGAGTCCGCCCGATCGTTTTACGGCTCGCACCCCTATCCCTATCATTCCATCAGCGCTTTGTAGTAACGGGATCTTCATCATTTGGTACTCTATCGGAACACCATTGTTGGTTCCTTTTTTCTAAGCTATGCATCTCGTCGCCGTTTATCTCTATGATGCTTACAACCAACAGATGCCTTACTTGAAGCGTTTTTGGTTTTTCTGCAGTGGTAGTGATGAATGTGTTTTGAACTAACCTAATGCTCCATAGGACTTCTAATCGTGGAGCTTTTCCGCTGTGTACTTCGCGCTTATAATGGCTTGCGGAGCACAGCCGATTTTTCATGGCTGTGTCTCGTATCGGATATTAATCTTGTCGGTCTCGCCAACATCTATTCTCATTCTACTTCAGCATGCCAGAGAGGAGCGGTCCCGTTGTGTGCGTTCGAAGGGCCCAGATATATATCTATATTTTATGCCAGGAGGTCTGCTAAAGATTCTGGACGCCGTTCGGCTTGGTGTTCGAACCAAATGGTCCTAAGGGAAGTTGTATGGGGCACTTTGTTAATTCCTGTTGCAAAAGTGGCTCACTTGTTCTACTTCGCAACAGTTTACTTACTTGTTAATCAGCATGAACTAGCAAAAGCAACAATCAAACTTTTCGAATGGGCACTCTGCCAGTTTTCTAGCCAGGGGATTCCTCCACGCCAAGGGAAGAATTGGCTGGTGCTGTTGAGCTAACTTAAACCCAGTGCCATGGCGTGCCTTGTTTCCGATCCCGCGGTCATGACCAAAGTACACTTAATGACGTACAGTGGGAGATCTTCGAAATGGACGAATGTGGCGGCGTCCCTGATCGTTGATCGCCACGGGGGTGCTCCCCGCATATCCATCTTTACTGATCAGAGATTCGAAATAAACACAAGAACACTACAATTTCACTTTCATGCAAGCTTTAATCAGGGTATTGTGTCCAGAAAACCAGTGCTTTTCTACTTCATAGCCACAAATTTCGAAGAACAAGAGCAGCGCTTCCACTGCAATAATTCAGAATGTTTCTTCAGCCTCCCGAGATTTGTACAGATACTTTTATTGGACTAACGTTTCGGCGAACATCGCCTTCTTCGGAGCCTGCAAGTCGAAACCTATCATCGAAACAATTCACTCAAGCACCATTTCTAATTACAGTAAGGAACTACGGGTTTCTTACTGTAATTAGTAATGGTGCTTGAGTGACTTGTTTCGATGATAGGTTTCGACTTGCAGGCTCCGAAGAAGGCGATGTTCGCCGAAACGTTAGTCCAATAAAAGTATCTGTACAAATCTCGGAAGGCTGGAAGAAACATTCTGAATTATTACGTCTCTGATGCCGAGATTAATTGAAAGCCGATCCTGTGAGCTTCCACTGCAGCTTTGACAGAGCTTAAGATCCCGGTCAGCTAGGGGGGGGGGAGGCGAGAGGCCCCCCCTAAGCCTGACCCGGGAAGTAGCGCTTTATTAGTTCTGTTCAATAAGGCAGACTTACTCTTCGAAAGTTCGGAGCTCAATAGCGTCAAGGGTTTGATCCTTCTCTGGACACTCCATATTACCGTTCTTCTTACATGATCGTTAGGTATAGGGTGTTGGAAAGGTGGCGGTTGACGAATGTGTGAAGGACGAATATTTATAGCTTTTCATGTCCAAGTATAGAACTCGGTTCGCATGTTAGGCACCTATGGAACGCTGTTTTAGACATTCAACCCCGCTCTTTATTGGAAGCCAATCTGTCGGTTTCTTATTCTCCTTACAGAGGGCATAAATGGTGTGTAAAGCAATGGAGGCGTTTGAAATGCGATCTATTGGTGCAGTGGAATCGGTTCGCCTCCTTTCCCTCCAAACGTGGGCAGAAATGCTCGTCCCAACGCACACAAACTTTTCTTTTGCACACTCCAGCATTAAATGACCGTCCTTCGTGAAGGAAAAGATCGCATGAAATGACGTGCTTATGTAAGTTCATTGTACCATTTAATGAGCTTTAGGCGGTCCCGACACAGTATACCGTACGCCCAATGACTGAATTAGTCAAGGGTGCCCCTCCTCTTCGTCAGGACATACCTTCACGTTGTGGTAAATTTTTTAGCGAAAAACGACCCTCCCCAACTACGCCGTTTGCCAAATAGACTCTCCTCACGTTTCCATACCATCTTCTTTGGATTTCTTCAACCTCCTACACGTTTCCGGCAAAATTTTCCCTCTTCTTTACCTTCTTCACCACAAAACAGCATCGAACGGGGATATATAGCAGCCATGAAACGGAAAAAGATCCTGAAAAGCCAGCAGCCAGGAAAATTCCCTCGGACTTTGGTAAAATTTCTCCCACAACACTTGTCAGCATCTGATACGACACTCATCGACCAAATACGACACCCCCGCTGGAATTCTCCCAACAATGCAGTAGACAGAGCTAGCGAGGTGAGGGAAAAACCAACAATATGAAAACTACGGAACGTATGAACCCTCCTCCTCTAGCGGTCAAATACGACCTCACGTATCGACGATGATGTGCTCTGCCCTCGCAGCCATGTGCCTTGCCCAAAAGTGAAGAAATTTTGGGCATAGTTCGGCCGGAGTATGGGGAGGGGGGGGGAACATTTTGCACTTTGGATTCTATCCATGGTCGTATTCGCGGCTTCACAAGGGACAAGAGTCTTCAAGATTACAGGTGTTAGAAAGTAGTTTCTTCAATTTTTGACTGGTATCGCTTAAAGGCTTCACAAGATTTCACAAATCTGCACGATGACTCGACATGACGATGGGAAGTAATGAAGGTGCAAAACGCCCCCCCCCCCCCCAACCGAACTGCGCCAAATTTTGTTACGTATTGTAGCTTTACGTGAAGTGAGGTTGCAGATCTTCACAAAGTGACCTGGCGTGCTGACAGGGATTAACAAGTCTTCCCTTAGCTGACCAGCCTCATGGTTGAGGTGTAAATTTATCAGTTTGAGTTTTTGAAATGTAGCATGTTGCGCAAATGATTGTTCTCAGCTGAATATTTCGTTTTTTCAATTGCTTGAAGAGTGATTTTAATATTTGTATTATTTGCAGCATCATGATGGCCAGCCGGCGCAGCTGCCATCAGTTGAGTAATGAAAGAATGGGCGGCAGATGACTCAGAGAAGGGCGAGAAGCTGACCGCATAATCACCACATCGTCAAGATACGTTCACACTCCGCACTCGCTTTCAAATTCTCGTCAAACACAATACGTATTCTTCTACTGTTGTATTCTTTTTAGTTTATGTGAACGATTTCTGCTCTTTTTATCGTTCGTGGTAAATGATCCGTGATATGACGTCATTGTTCTACAGCTATCGTTTATTTAATTCTCTTCTGTGGTCGGCGTATCTATATTCCTTATGTAGTTAAATTGTACAGATGACGCGCGACAGCTTGGCGGCTGAATAAAGTCGTGTGTTGAGGAAATGTGTACCAACTCTAACTGTGGTTCAACAGAAAGTCAATAAGAATCCCAGACGCATTTCTGCTTGGTGGGGGCATTTTGCGAGTTCTCGTCATTCATACCCGATGCTTTCTGTGGAGACCTGCTAATCCTTGTAAAACTATACAATAGCAAGAAGTTTGTTTAAATTTGACAAGATTCGACAGGTTAGTACATGTGAGTTACACAAAAAAACTAGTCCATGAAGAAAATGCCGCCTTCCTCCCATCCCACCCGTCGCGCCTTTCTAGTTCTAGGGATTCTGAATTACCCCAGAATCTCTTATATCCGGCGCCTATTCCAAGCCTGGTGGGGGGAGGGGCGGGAAGGAAGGAGGAGGAGGTAGAGGCATTTGAACTCTGAATCTCGTGGGTATTATCATATTCGCTTTTGCCAATGGTTCCCAAGCAAGAATTCACAAGCATTCGGAATTTCCGCAGGTAGGGGAAAGGGATGGGGATACAGACCTGGTTGTCTCGGCGCTAATTGACTTGACTGTCGAAAAAAAAGCAGAAAGCACGGGCAAAACGAGTAAGATAGCAGACATGATGCCTTTTTCAGTGGCACTGATCGTTCGGTGGGGTGACCACTGGTGGGTGGGGTCGAATGAGAGCCTCAGCGTCCTT